ATTGTAACTATACCGTAATCTCCAGCTTTATTTGAACACTGCATGAATGCCCATAGAGCATTTGTTTTAATAGCCGTTCATTATACTGTTACATCGAGACTGCGCTCGACGTACCTTTTTTTTTCCCTCTTCCTCTCCTTATCCTTCTCGTAAAGCCGCGTTTTCGTAGCAAGCTAAATGACATACACGCACACATACACCAAGTACCGAAACTAAGGCTTCGTGACACACATATTGTATTGCATACAGCGGAGCTTGTCAGTCTCGATGTCGTCCATCTCTTTATGCGGAGAACAAAGTGAGTAGTACCCATTATCGCTCGATTCCGATTGTTCGTAATACAAGTGACCGCTTGGCCTGAAGTGGTGTTTGAATAGTTCGGTCTGGGAACCATCGGGTCTTATGAGGCGGGTAGTTATCAAGTGATAACCATCTGCAGGATAAAGATTATGATAGTCGATTTCGGTGAATAGTCCACCGCTACTCGAATTGAGTCTATCCACGATCATCGTGTTGCCTTGATAATAAGTCTTTAAATCAAAGGAGATTGGATCACCAATCAGTTGACCTGAAAGTAATCGAGGAATCATAAAAATGCAGTTTATTATTTATCAGGTATCTTTGATCTATACATATTATCTTCCTGCGATATGTTAATTTTTGATAAATTATTACCTTTGTGATTGTATCGGAGGATGCACATGTCGTATTGCTGGTGGCATAATTCTCTGCTTCTGACATAGACGTCGAAGCTGTCGTTATAAACTAGGACATTAAACCCAGAAATATCATCTCCAACACTATTAAAATCTAACTGGACGAAGTTGTTGCAGTTGTCCATGTCGATGATACTAACTTTCCATTCTTTCCATATACTTGTGATTCCTTCGGAATTTTTGTCGCCTGCATACCTGTACCAGTGAAGCACGACCTTTTTGCCCCCTAGCATGCCATTAAAATTTCCAGGATTTTTTAAATACACAGAGTATTTTTTATAACCGTGAAGTGTTTTGCTGCATCGCTTTTTCTGGCCGTTCACATATGCCAGCGTGAATAAACAATCGATATCTTCATCATTATGGTGGTTGTTGCACATCACGTACGAGAGGCTCTCGTCGTCATTTTGATACATT